TGTCTATATTTGTAACTATGTTTCAAACTGCAAGCTCAGAGCCCGGCAAGGCAGGCAGGGAACGTTGATTTCCTCCGTCACTGAAGCAAGCAAGCCTCATGTAAGTTTCAAGCTGCCTGGCTGCTGGCTGCCATCTTGGCTGGCAGTTAATTTGCATATCTCGCTGATTAGCCAATGGGCAGAGTAGCAGACGCACGCTAATTACCATGTTTCTCTTTTATTAGATAGGATAATATATGGGGTTTGGTACTATCTATGGTTTCAGACATCCACTTAAGATCTTAGAATTTATCCCTGTGAAGCGGGGGGAGGGGGGCTACCATACTGGCTTATTAGTTCCAGGCAGTTTTTGATAATGTTTTCTAGATTTTCTCCACAGGCTATCATATCATTTGATAATAAAGAGAGCTTTATTTCTTCATTTCTAATCTGTATGATATTTATTTTTTCTCTCTCATATTATTGTACTAGTTAGAACATCCAGTACAATCTCTCTATATATAAGGCTAATATGCAAAGTGTCCCCTCAGGAGTTTGACTGGGAGACCGGGAGTTCAATCGCTCACTATGATGTATGCTGACCACCAGGGGGGTAGTGCAGAATGAAGAAAGGCCCCAGCGAGCAGCCGGAAGGTTCCAATTGGCCCTGATCGCTGGCCAGGCCTAGGGACCCTACCCATGCACAAATTTCATGCAGTGGGCCTCTAGTGTTGAATAAAAGTGGATAGAGAACACATACTTGCCTTGTTCTCAATCTCAGAAGGGAAGGAGGAAGTCCTTACTAGAAAATGTGTGTTATTTATTAAGATGAGAAAGTTGCCTTCTATTCCTTGTTTGCTGAGATTTTTAAAAATCATTAACAATGTTGGATTTTGTCATATACCTTTCCTGCATTTATTAATACAATCAGATGATTTTTCTTCTTTAGCCTTTTGCTATGGTGGATTATACTGGTTGATTTGAATGTTGAACCAGACTTGCATATCTGAAATAAACCTCACTTGGTTGTGGTGTATACTTCTTTTTATACATTGTAGGATTTAATTGATAATACATATTTTGTTGGGCATTTTCATGTCTATGTCCATAAGAGGTATTGGGCTGTAGTTTTCCTTTCTTGAAATCTCTTTATCTAGTTTTGGTATTAAAGTAATGCTAGCCTCATAGAATGAGTTAGAAAGTGCTCCTTCGGCTTCTCTTTCCTAGAAGAGATTATCAAAATTTGGGACCATTTCTTTTTTAAATGTTTGGTATAATTAACCAATGAAAATATCTGGCTTGGTGCTTTCTTTTATGGAAGGTTATATATTATTTATTCAATTTCTCTAATAGATATAGGACTATTCTGATAATCTATTTCTCCTTGTGCAAGTTTTGTACCTTTCAAAAATATGGCCTATTTTATATAAATTATCGATTTGTCACATAGTTGTTTATAATTTTCCTTTATTATAGTTTTAATATCCACACACTTAAGATTTTAATTTAAATATATGTATATTACATATATATATACTATTTTCAAGCCTCTTTTGTGTATTTCTATATGCTAGATAATTTGCCTTGTTAGTTATTTTATTTCCATTATTCTTTGTGGATACGGTGAGTGGGCTTAGACTTTGGAAGCCAGTCATCATACATCTGCTGTTGGGGAAATTCTGGGCAGAAACTGAAGAGATGCCAAAATGAGAGGGTCCCCATGTTGCTGGAGGAATGGTTAGAGGTGAGCACAGCAAGATTCTGACAGAGCAGGATCCAGAAACACCCTCTATAAATTAGCTAAGTCAAGAAAATTTCTCTTGTGGTGTGAGAACCTGGGGATTAGGGAGGAAAAAAACAACAAAAAAACCCCCACAACAAACAAAACAAAACAAAAATAATAACAAACTGGAGACAATGACTGCCCTCGGGAAGCAAAAGCTGACAGACCACTGTTACACTGTGTCTGAGTTTTCCATACTTATTCACAGAAGTCAAAGCAGGTCAGGGCATACCTGAGAGAATGCAGCACCCTTTTTGGAGCAACAAGGACTTCGACTTCCTTGAGTCTCTGTGACAGGTTTACAGTATAAGCAGGTGGGAATTATTCTTGTTTTGCCTTTATACTTCAAGAAATCAGCATCTGAGTTGTGAGTCTGAATCATGGAAACCTTAATTAGATCAGCTCTAGTGTTTACACTTTTTTCTGTTGTGAAGACTATTGGGATTCACATCTATGGTGTATAACTTTCTGAATTTGAACCACTTTCTCAGGATATATCTCCAGACATGTAATACCAGTCAGGAGTGGGCAACCTACTTTACTCAGGCTTAATGTTTCTTGATATATATCTTATCACATACATTTATTGGTCATGAAGACAATTGTAAGTATAAATTAAATATCTTATTCTATTGTCAATGTTCTTTTGCTCTAATTGGACAGTAATATGTTTCTCTGGGCATATGAGCAAATACTGGGGCAGAAAGAGGTGGAGGCTTAGATGCTAGGTCAGAGAAGTGAAGCTGCTAGTATCTGAAACGTGCAGTAAAAACAGACTTAACAACAATGATCCCTAAAACTCCACCTGCCAAACATTACATGGAATCTAATTTGGGAGGAATTTTGAACATGAGGTTGCCAAAGGGCTGTTTATTGAAGTTCTCTAAAGAAGGGGAGTGAGGCACATGGGGATTGGGAGTCTCCTCATTCATGAAAAGGAATTTGTCAGATTAAACAGCTCAAAATCCATTGGTAAAAAATCAAGGCAATATAAAACATGCATTATAATACACATCTGCTTTATTTAGCAACACAAGGGAGCAATACCAGAGGAAACATAGCAGGGATACAGACTGTACATGATAGAACTAGTGACTTATGCTTTCATGACCACTGTGTGGAAGATGGGGAATTCCTGGGCCAGTAGAAAGCAAGACATTGCTCTGTTCTAGAGTCTAGAGTCCAACCCAACCAGTGACCTTCTGATGGTGAGCAAATGAAGTTCAAATGGAACAGGTATGTGAAGAGAGGAGAAATGAGGGAACTTAGCAACTTCAGTTCTAACTCAAGGACTAAGAGAATTAAGTAGCAGGAGAAAAGAAGCAAACTGAAGAGAAGGCCATGCGGCTGGAGAGGGGGGCTAAGACAATGTGGGACCAAGAGCCAACGGGAGGACTTCAGTGCTTGTAGCCCTTCCTGGTGGTGGATGAGGTGGTGCTGTATTTGATGGTGGAACTGCTGCCCCCAGCAGAGCTGAGGCCACCTCCAAAGCCTCTGCCACTGCCAGAACTGAAGCCACCTCCAAGGCTGTGACCACTGCCATAGGAGTAGCCGCTGCCTCCGCCCAGGCCGAAGCCACTGCCGACACCACCAGCACTGCCATAACCACTGGAGACGGTGGACTGCACCACAGCTGTGGAGGGGAGGAGGACAAGGATACACATGGTGAGCTCATTATGTCAGCCTGAGTCAAGTCAGAAGAACACAAGGGTAAGGGAGGGAGGCAAGGAAAGATACTTACAGATGTTGACTGGTCCAACGCCTTCCCCACTCAGCCTAGGAATGAGGAAACACAGAGACCATGAGACCTCAGAGAACCACTACTGGACCAGTGTGGCCTGCCTTTTCTTTCCCAGTTTCCTCCATTCCCACATCAATTGTTCTCATGTCATCTCTATTCAATGCTTCCAGACTATATTTTACAGCACTGACAGCGAAAGCCTCCATGTGAAGACCATCCATGGGGAAACTGCCTTTTCCATGGTTCTCTGAGAGTAGG